AGATCGCCTGAAAGTTACATCCGTATGAGTGTATAATTGGTATATACGCTTCTGCGTATTCCAGAACAGAACTGAGGATGGATTTTTCTTAAATATGGTCTCAGTTTTGACACCGTGCACTTTGTTGTGCAGCACACAAATTAACTTAGTAAAAGCTGCCTAACACACGTGCAACATCCGGATTTATAATTGCCTCGTTATATATATGGACGATGAAGTTGCTTCAACCGTATTATACTATAGAGGTTATTAGTTTTCTCATAAACCGGACCGGCGCTTTCAGGGCGTCCAGTCTCCGTCCCCGCACTACGAATGAAGCTCGCAGATGATAGTGATCTTGCTTTACACATTAGAAGTGGGCGGAGGATCGACCTCTCTTATACGAACCGTGAAAACAATCTTCTTTAGGGCTACAGCTCGATAAAATTAGTCTCTGTGTACTGTATATATATTTTGTCTAGGAAAGGTGAACCACTTCATTGCTTTGCTAATTGGTAATGTAATATAAATATGGCATTGACTTTCCTCTATTTCTATATGTTTTATTTATTTATTTAATAATGTTAGTAACTTCTTTAGCAGATCTCCCGTGATGTTGCGGATCATGCTGTGCGCCTTTTTCCTTCTGCACCCCGCGGTTCGCCCGCACAACGCCGGTAAAACTGCCGACGCCGATTTGTTAGACGCTGCAGCAGTGCAGGCAGGTGAGTTATTTTTAATGTTCTCATTAATTTAATAGATTGATACATTTTCAATAATACGGTGTAATATGTAATTTATGGATATTATAGTTAGTTTTTTTAGATCTACATCGACTAAAATCCGGTTGACTGGAAACAATTGCTTTTATATGTATGACGTATTCACACACACACATACACACACACACACGTTTAATATGATATCCGTCCTGTAGCCGATTTCCAGTTGGGGCTGTCTAAAGGCAGAGAAGTCTCCTTGTATCTCTCACTTTGGCATAAGAATTAGGCCCCAGCTTTGTTTTTGTGATGGTATTTACTTGGTTTTTATCCTCAACAAAGGCCACAATCCGAGGTTTAAGGTTAATTTATGTTAACCGTGCACTACAAGACCTTGAATAGACTCTGAAATGACTTTTTAAAGACTAAAGTGTGACACATAGTCACATCTAAAGACAATGTGTCATTAGTCACAGACTGTTTTGTCACAGGCTATGATTTTGCAAAGACTGGGGATCTTGCAGGGTTTTTATTTACAAAAGTACAGCTAGATTCCTTTTCAGGTTATTTCCCATCATGCTAAATTTACAGGAAGAGAAAAACTGTTCAACAGAAAGAGAAGCTTTTGGCTGCAGTTTCTCTTGTGCGCGATGGTTTGCTGTTACGCCAAGGTCTGTCTGCCCTGTGTATCTATCTACCCCTCCTCAGATGGTTTACCTGTTTCGCTCTTTCCTGATGGGTGCTGCAGAGAGCTGAACTATAGCTTTTTGACAATGTCCATGTTAATATTTGCATGAGACAAGACTAAAAACTTATAATATCAAGCATGGTTGATTTTATCAGATTATCAGGAGGACAAAAAGGCGACTATCTTGAGCACCTCACATCAAACGATCAAGATGATTTTGTCCTGATTTTGTCTGCAACAGTGACATAGCCTGAAATGTTGTTTGGTGTAAGGCTGCATCTTGGTGCATCTTTGATCTGCGTGTGACTCGTGCGCTGTTCTGTAGACGGCATGTCTGCTGTGATTCTCAGCAAAGGCTCTGGACTGTCAAAACGCAGTCAGAATTAGCCATTAAAGAGTGCAGATGAACTGATATATGTTTAATAATCAATGATCAAGTGGCGATGGACAAATCATAATCCTCATTTGTTTTGCTTTACACAATTAGTGCGCGGCTCACTCAGGTCCAATGGGCTGACTGTACTGGTGGGTCTCACTATAGTCATGTGACCAGCATGGCACCCAGGGTGGGACACCTCGGAGAGAGTACCCGACGGAGCCTAGCCGACCAATTCATTTAGCTTATTTTACATTTGGCACACCATGTGCACCAGCCTAGCATCACTCACACTCCGTCATGGGGTTCTCGCGTGATTATTCTGGCTTAATTAATTAAATCACCATTAAATTAATCAGAATCAGAAAATTAATCAGATTACATTGAATCTGAATTTTAAAAGCCAAGGAATACTCTCACTTATTTCATATGCAGGGACCTCATGCCGCTCTTTAAAGATGGTGGTGCTGCTGATACTTCGAGCAGAGCTCCGTAATGTTTCCCAGCATGCAAAGCCATAAATGCGGGAAGGTTTACCTGCTGTTGTGCATAAACAGCTTTATTCTGGCCTGCATCTTTTATTGTGTAAGTGGGGAATGGCTGTAACTGATGTTGTTTCACAACAGGAGATTCGAACTTGAGGAGAACGAAGTCGAGAACATTGTTTTCCAGGAGAGGATTTCAGGAAAGGCACAGGATTCAAGCTGTGGTAGGCATTCCATCGCCACGGCGACCCCACTGTGTCCCCATGACGTCTCTATCATATCGCCACGGCGACCCCACTGTGTCCCCATGACGTCACCATCATATTGCCACGGCAACCTAACTGTTTCCCCATGATGTCTCCATCATATCACCACGTCGACCGCACTGTGTCTCCATGATGTCTCCATCATATCACCATGATGTCTCCATCATTAGTCCATAACGTGCCCGCTGTAACTCCACACTCTGTATCTCTCTAGTTTAAAATATGTACTGTTGTGATGAAAGCGGTCTTTGAGCCATGCGAGAAAAATTACAGTTATAGTGGAAAATGCGCACAGTGCTGTGGCTCGCCGTAACCTCAGAAACAGATCCTGGTCAGAACTAGCAGCAGTGACTTACATGTTTTTTTCATGCTTGGAGATGGATGCCTTTCATTACGTCCAAACCATAAATTTTACGTTGCCAGTCAAGAACTATTTCTGTTGGATTTCAGTTATGTGACGGACACACTATCTATCCACTGGGCGTAAATTAGCCAGTCGCCTTATCACTGTCAAATCCACTATATTTTGTTTCTCTATAATTTTTTTTTTCAAATCTAGCTTAAAATCCAGGTGCTAATAGATGCTATGTACCTAGAATTAGTTTAGAAAATTTAGTTTAGAGCATCTTCACCTTCAGAGTAATAAGTCCCAGGAAGCTGCTTAGTGGTAAATCGTCACCCCTCCTTCGAGGAGGTGAATGTGTTGACCTCCATCCTTTAATGAATGCTAAAGATGGGGCTGTGATACCGCTGTAGGTCCCCCTGTGACGCTTTTGCCCCATTCTCTGCCAGAAGCCCAATCTGGCCCCGCCCCCTGCCCCGGAGCGCTGCTCGCGTGTGACGGAGAGCTGTGGCCCCCACCTGTACTGCTGTGACCCCTGTGCCACATGCCGCTGTCACTTCTTCAACTCCATCTGCTACTGCTGGAGGCTGAGCCAGCACTGCATCAAGAAGGGATAGACGCACACCACCAGGGGGCGCACTCCCGCACAGACACACATGCGGCATGCTCACACTCTCAAGGACGGGCGCACGCACATGGATACTCACCAGTACTCACGGGAGCACACGCGCACCCCCACTTACACAGGCGCTCACCGGCGCCCCCTGTCTGACATTTTTACCACTGATTGACGTCGACCCAACCAGTGCAGAGAAAAAAGTGCTCTTTTTAATATAGCATTTTCCTACATTTAGTATTCCTGTATTTTGATTTTATATTTTAGATGTATGAAAAATGTATAAAATGTATAACAGTTAACGTAATGATGAAAGCAAGAAAGGGACTTTCTGTTGAGCCTTTGACTATCACCCAGTCAACAATATAAAAAGAATGTTCTGGAAGACTTCTGAGGACGAGTGAGCCATAATTAGGACAAGAAAACAATTAATGTGATCATGAGGCTGAGCAGAGGCCCATGCAAATGGGAAGGTTATAATCACCGTGCAAACACGTACAAACACGTTGGTTCTGTTGTGTTTGTTTCTTTTCTGACATGTCAGTCTTTTGTGGTGAGCTTGTTCACATGAAGCGAACACAACCCACACCAAACACGATTACACAATTTGGCAAGACAGCCTGGAATGTGCTCATTATTTCAGAGTTAGGTTCCTTGCTTGGGCTTAACATTGAAATAATGATTTACAGCCGGTTATGGTCTTAATCACAGAAACAAGCTAAGCAGCTAAATTTCAACATTTTACTACAGGAACTCGGAACAATTAAGCAAATTCAAAACACGGCATAGCATTAGGCCAAGAGCCTTGTTTTTTAAATGGTGCTAATACATCTGAAATGCAGACGCAGCTGGACTGATGGCTAATATCCTGTGAAACGCAATACGGGACGTCGAAAGCTAAAATGGAAAGAGCACCAGAACCCTAAGTGATCCGTGAATATTCTGGAGCTCAGCCTTGGGAGTTTTTTGTTAGACCCAGAACCCAGAAGACGGCGAACGAAAAGACAGCTTCGAATTTCTAGGATGAAAACCTGTCATTAGTCCAAGTAATTTTTTATTATCCATTTAGTGGCCCAGTGACAATTAAGTGCCATTCAGCTCTTTAAAGGTCCCTGTGTCACCTGACCAGAAAGATAAAAATAGATAATAGTTCTTGTCATTACTGTCCACTGTAGTCCTAAATCACTGAGGTGAGGCCTAATTCAAAACCCTAGACTTTGGCTTGAACAAAAGGAGACCTGCACTCAGTGCTCTGTAGGCCTGGTAGAGAGGAATCTTTAAATGGGAGGGGCTTGTGAGAGCACGTTGCCATGGAAACAGCTTTCTCCTGCAGCTGCAAACCTTCACCGGCTAAACTGCCTGCTTAGGCACCAGGTCACGGATGTGAGGTATCTCTGAGTTTTGTAAATATATATATATATAGAATCAGTGTGTGTGTGTATATACACTCACCTAAAGGATTATTAGGAACACCATACTAATACGGTGTTTGACCCCCTTTCGCCTTCAGAACTGCCTTAATTCTACG